TGATGAAATATTATGCCTCCAATAAAAATCATGCCTTTGAGGAATATTTAAAAACATGGGAATATGATCACGGTATACTGTTAGCTGAAATAAAATAAAGACTTTTTTCCCCCCCAGTTTAATCCTTAAAGGGAAAATAACCCTATGCTTTTCCCTTTTATATTTTTCTGCATTTTAAAATATTTTACAATAAATATGTATTATTCTTGTAAGCAAAAAAAACCTGTTAGAATACTATAATTTTTGAGGATTATCTAAGATAATTTTGAGGATTATATGTTAGCTAAGAGATCAACACGATTAAGTAGTCTCCTTCCCTCAGCCCTTACACACATACCTTTCTCCCTTCCTTTCTGAGTCTCAGGTTAACCTTTGTGAAATGAAAAATACATTGTACATAAATGTAAAGCATTGACTACAGGGTACACTCCATATATCTTACTTGTTTCCCCTTCACTGAACTACCAGAGGGCAGAGGCTTTCATTCCACATTTCAGACTCTGAAAATCCAAAAGTGATAACTCCAGTGCTCAATGCATCCAGATACTTTATCAGTGCAGATTCAGGCAAGGGACAGCTTTGTCCCGCTTTGGTGGGTAGTGGGGAGACTTAGTAGGGGGATGGTGGATACCAAGAACAGGAGAAGACTAAGAAAAATTAGACGGGCGAAGCCTGAAGGGAATGTCATGGGTTGCCCAATGTTTGTTTCTCTCCAACGATTTAGACAAGCAAGAGGAAACGATGTTCAGGGATGTTTGGAGGTGACACCACTGACCCAGGCTCACAGTGACCAGTGGCTAGGAGCGTTTGTGAGCATTTCCAGCACATCTCTGTGTCTGTGTCCTCAGATAGAACTTCATCCTTTCTCTTTTGTTCTCTTTGGCAAGGCTGACTCTGCTCTAGCTTATGGATATATGGAGTGTACCCTGTAGCTTTCCCCCCATTCTGCAGAAATTCTGACCTCTAGGAGGTCTGAAACTAGATCAAGGGTTAAGAAGTCCTTTGACAGGTGACATCCCTCTTCATTAAGTACCAAACAGCAATAATGGGACTTATGCAGAGCTCCAAAGGGACGCAAGCTCGGGTGTGCAGGTACCTGAGCATTAACTGATCTTGCTTTTAATATTAATGAGCCTATGATTTGGTCTAGTTGACCTTCAGATTCAAATTAACTACTGATTAAATAATAAGACAGGAGAATCGGAATGTCTTTAAACAGCATATTTTTCTCCTCAGTAACATGACTTGGCCTTGACTGTGAGTGAGGATGTGCTATTGAGTATGGAGACAACTTTAGCAGAGAGTTCTTGAATTAAGGAGACTGTATCTTAAATAATAATGATAATAATAATAATAACTTTGCAGCCTTTCAACCAGAGTACTTGATATTCTTAATAAGAGTTTTACTCCAGTGTTTATACTCCATCTGATTGCCTCTCTATTTGTTAGCTTAAATAGCCCCCCTCTTTGTTTTTTTTTTGTACTCCTGGGTTTGTTTTTAGATTTAAAGTGCAAAATAGCATTAAATAAACAGATTATTCTGACCAGCAGAGGAAGAAAGCTAAGTGTATGCTCTGTTTTATAAATAACATCAGAACCCCTATCAACCCACATGTATTTTCTTAGGCCAGCTTTACCTTGGAGTTCATTTCAGTGTAATCCTGGCTGCTGCATCCTTAACATGCACCCCCATTCCCCCAACTGTGGATGAATTATTCATCAGCATTCCTCCTCCTCACAGCTCATCTTCCCAGCTCAACTCCTGCCCACTGAGGCTGTAATGAGTCATGGGGAACAGGTGGCTTCAGTCTGTAGCTCACAGTCTAGCTCTTAAGCCAATAGCCAATCAGGTGTACCTCCCTCTGCTAGCAGCTTGCACTGTTAGCAGTTATGTGGGGTAAATGGGCAATAAGCATCCATTCTTGGTACCCAGTGGGAAATATGTCTAGAACATTTGGACAAAATCGCTGGCAGGGAAGATATCCCAGAAGACACAGCCCCTTGAAATTCCTCGACTTTCACACAACTGTTTTAATTTAAAAATCTTATTCCCCACACCAAATTGACATTAGTCGGCTCATTTTTCGTTTGCTTGTTTTCAGTGTTCGCCCTCTTGTGCAAACTAGGCACTAGTTTCCTGTGGGAACCAAAGTTGCAATAAATGTAAATCCAGCCAACCAAAAAGCAAGGGTAGGAGTAACTGATGAGTCTCAAATCTTTAGGAATTAGATTAGAAAAAAAAAGGCTAGTCCATAGTATTGGTGATTCTGAAACCTAAGAAGAGCATGTGGGCCCAAGATCAAAGTCTGGAAACAAAGGCAGGAGAGCAGGGGTTCCTTCAGGAGCCCTAGTGGGCAGAAATGTTCTGCCCCTTAAACTGAGTGTGTGATAAGCATTTTACAGGCGATCTTATAACTCCAGAGCTCATAAATAGCCCAGGTGTCACTGGGGAGGAGATATATTTCTGCATGAAAGCTAATAACGGCAAATGTTTGAAATGGATCCCCAACATATACGACTGCCTTTTAACCTCCACTTGACCTCAATCTTGGAGAATTTCAATGGCAAATTTATTTCTTTTTCATTCTAAGCTATGTATCAGTCAAGATGCTTGCATAAGCATTAGACACTTGTATAAATTTTGTAGTGATAAAAAATTAAAACCAGTGATCTTCCATACATGCTTTTTCAGAAGGAAAAGGCAAAAAACATATCCTATATGTTCTATTTTTAATTGAAATTGGATTACATACTAATGGGGATTTCAAAACACTTTTCTTTTGCCCAGATAAAGAGGTTTATGGATATTAATAATTCACTTCAATAAAATACTTAAAATTTTACATTTAGTTTTCTTAGGGAACTGCATTTGTGACATCTGACAGAACTGTTGGAGCCACCACCACTAAAAGTTTTATGTAAAAACCCTGAAAGTATTCCAAGAAAACAATCCTAGTGTGAGCAATTAATCGTGTGAGATCCTAAATGCATCAAGGAACATACATCACAGTGTGTTTCTATAAAGGTGTGATATCTCCAAAGCAAACAACGCAACAGGAAAAATCTCAGCTTGAAGCACTTAAATTAGATCATCTCTCTTGTTTCCTAAACATTGCCATCCAACTTCATGACCTTTCAAGTTTTTTATCACAAGCTAAATGACTGGATCATCCAAAATTATTTACTTAGGAGGGACACTACTTTCTGTCTTTTCACTCTGACTTGATCAGGTGTATTTCTCTCTAGAAGATTACCTCGGGTTTCTTGTCAGGGCCTCTGTGGATATCTGACATTATTTACATTTTTAGATATACCAATCATTTTAAGAACAGGGATGTAAGAACACCCACCTGAATAGTGCGAAGGGAGATGCCAAGGGATTAATTTAAAACTTGTCAATGAACAAGAAAAGGAGCGCCACAAATAACAGCATGGTACATGTCTGATCTCCCTTTAGGAATGAGGAACACATTCTCCCAGCTGCAGGCACTCCTGACCCATCTCAGGATTCCAGTGTTACCTCCTTAGAGGAGGAGAGCTACCTCACCAAGGCCACAGCCCCTTCCCAAGGCAGAGAACTTATCAGTGGGGGGTTTTTACAGCTTGACTCTTGTCGCCCCAAATGGAGCATCTGGAAGGGTCATGGTGTCTCTAGACCAGCTGCTGCTTCTGTTGAGAATGCCTCACAGCTCACCTTCTCCCTCTCCCCACTTCTGTTTCTTTCTTTTTCCTTTCATAGATGATTCCAAGAGCTCTCCCTGATCAATGTCTGTTCCCTAATCTCCATCAGTCTTTCTTCTGAGAAGCCCACTATGCACTTCGTGCAGGTGAATAGTTTGAACAATTGGCACGTATATTGCCTTCTGTGAGGTAGATACTATTATTATTTCCAATCTCAGAGGAAAAAACTAAAACACAGAGAGGTTCACGACTTGTTATTTACTTGTTAATTCCTTGAATTACTTGTCAAAGTTTACATAAATTTCAAGCAGTAGAGATGGGATTTAAGCTTCAACAATCTGACCCCAGAGTTCTTAATTTTAGCAACTACCACATTACATGGAATGTCTCTTTTAGAAACACCCACATACCAGGCAATATGAAATTAAATGAATGATACAAACAGTTGAGTATTAAAATTTTAAAATCACTTCGATTTTCTAAGTACCAATTCAAGGAGTAGCAGGTATCAATGTCGAACATGAATCTGTTTTCCTATCACTATAGACTGAAAAATGCCTACAGCATGATTATACAAAAGTTTGCTAGATGTCCATTTGTGTAAATAGAACAATATTGTCTACCATTCCAAAAGGGGTTTTAGTAGTTATCAATGACGGATATCAAATCAAATGAGGATTTTTGTGTGAGGACAATTAATCAGACAGAAAAGAAGGACTATTTTATTTTCCTTTAACTTTATCATCTGCACATGAATGTCCCCACTATTCATTCCTCAAATTTTCAAGTGAAATCTACGTAAAAGTTTCTTTTACTTTTTTCTTCTTTTGAGATACTTGGATCAACAATCTTTTCTCATGGTAACCGTCCATAGAATGAGGAATGATTCTAGTCAAAGATTTATTTCTAAGGATGTTTTCCAAACATTTCTCCTTTCTTATTACATCTGCATCATGGAACTCTCCGGTAGGTGGTTACCAAACGCCATTCTTTTGAACTTAATTCCCGATGAGTAGCTGTAAACAGAGCTGCCTAATTTTTGGTGCTTCAAATAAACATCTTCTTCAAACATAATTTCTCCAATCATTCTCTTATTTCACAAACAGTTACTTTTCAGAGGAATGAATGTAAATGTATACATAAATCCTGAAAAGGGCAGATATGGAATAAACACAGTGGGTGGGATATTTGATTGTGTTCAAAATAGAGATGCTTAAAGACAATTAGATAGCTTTGCTCACTGCTTCATTTTTCCAAATAAACAAAACCCAAATGATCTAAGAGTTTGTGATTTTTAGATGTAGTAAGTGACTTCATACCTTGATCTTTACAGACTTCAGCTGCCTCTTCTGAAGCAGGGCTGGGCACAGCAGCGGCACTGACTCCTTCTGTAAGGCAGCGAGAAACAGTGTCTCAGTGTTAATACTGCCTACCTGGAGCCCTCTTGCCTGCTTTCCCCGCTCCATCAGAGGACGTCTCAGCCTGTTTGAGGCTCTAATACACCAAATGGTTTTTGAAGGTGTTAGGGTTTGTCATTAATTGAACAGCAACCGTTAATTAAGACAGAGCCTAATGAACTACAAGTTATTTGTGGTGAAGAATACTATTTGTTGGTACTATTACTCTTTCGTATTTTGCCTCTAGAACAATGGTACATTATTTTCTTAGTAAAAGATTGTGAAAGCTTATCCTTGCAAGTTTCTATAAAGTGCTTTTATGCGTGTGTGTTTAAAGTTTGTTTTTTTTTAGCACAGCATTTCTCCATTATGCTGGGCTTCAGACGGCAGGGAGCACATCTGACGGCTGTCAGAGCAGAGGCTCAGGAGAAGGGCACCATTTGTAGGAAAGCACCAAAAAGCCGTTTGAGATTTTATGTCACCCAAGGAGACAGTGAGGACTAAGGGTCCCTGGCTGCCTCACAGCAGCAATTAACCTCATCAGAGCTGATCTTTCTCTTCACTATGAGCAGCACTGCAGTGGCTCCACTCACACTTGGCTTCCAGGATAATAGCTTCCAAGATAATAACTTACTAACATAAAAATAGTATATTTAAGACAAGGATTATCAGAATCATTTGAAACAGTTAATACTTGACAATTGGAAAAAATATGTATATTTTTCATGCAGTAGCAAGGTTTGGAACTGAAGACAACTCATACATGCATGACAACTAACACTTAAAGGCAAATCAGGTATTTTCTAGCATATCTTCTGTCCGTATGTCTATGACAATTACTTTCAGGGCATGTCTCTGTTGGAACAGAGAATACAATTTTTTAGTAGAGGGATAACTGGAGATGCTGAACCACTTTCTTTTGTTAGGTGACAATCTCCTATTGCATATAAAAGGACAAACTATTAACCTTCCCTTGATGTCACATCTTCCCATTTCTCTAGCTCCCTCCACAGCAAAGCTCCCTATAAAAACAAGAGTTATATATGTTACTGTTCTATACTTCCCTTCATCACAGTCTTTGCATGACTTTTTCCACTGACTTCAGTATTCCTCCAAAATTGTCAATGGTGCCAATGACTTCCCTTTGCCAAATTCAACAGTCACTTCTATTTTTGTACCTTGATTTGTCAGTGGTATTTCATAGAAAGTACTCTGTTCTTCCTGAAACACTTATGTGTGTCTGCTCTTCCCTGTTGACCCATATCTAGATGTCATTGTGTCCTAGGTCCCCTTGTTTTCTTTATTTACATGTACACTCTACTGAACCTCATCCAGTTCTATGGTTTTAAATCTCATTTATATGCCAATGTTCTCAAACCTGTATTGCTGGTTCACACTTCTTCCTAGAAATCCAGACTCACATAACTAACTGGCTTCTTGACATTCCATATGGCTAAGAGACCTCTCAAATTTATCATGGCCCAAACTTACTAACTTTCTCAACAAAAACTGCCCTGTGGCCAATCTTCCATACATCAGAAGTAGAGCCTTTGTTCATGTGGTTACTGATGCTAAAACCTAGGACTTATCCTGTATTTCTTTCTACCCCATATCCCACATCTAACCCATTGGCACATCTTGTTAATCTCTATCTCTGGAACATAACACATCAGTGCCTTTTGTCTTGATTTCCAGAAAAATTCCATCATTACTTTCCTGCTATATCCTTCTCATTGGTCTCAGTCTGGCTCTTTGGACCAATTTTTTCATTCACAGGAAAGTGAGCTTGTTAAAATATAGACTATGTCTCTCCACCACTTAAAAACTTCCAATGGCTTCTCTTTATAGTTCTAATGAAACCAAATCTTACAGAATCAGAGACAATCTGGTCCTGATCTCTTATCAAATCTCATACCATGTTCCCCTGATCCACCATGCTCTAGCCACTCTGCTTTCTTTCTCCAACATGCTAAAATTGAGGCATTTGCATTATTTGGTCCTTCCATCTAGAATGCTCTGCTACTACCTCATCATTGAGTTTCACTTAATCATTGTTTCTTTAAAGAGTCATAACCAAATCTAGCCAATGGAAAGTTGCCTTCTCAGTATTCCTTCTACATATCTCATTTTTCTGCAGGGCATTTGTCACCTTATACTTTTTTTGTCTATTATTTTTGGATCCCCACACCCCTCCCCTCCAAAAAATTAGAAAAGGTAAGAAAAGCTTCGAGGAAGCAGGGATAGTATCTGTATTATTTCCCGCTGTATCCCAGTGTCCAGAACAGTGCCTGGATCACAGTAAACCCTTGATGTGTATTTTTCAAATGACTGAAGAATGTTATTTACAACTTTGTTTTGATTTGATCATGACAGCAGTGAAAACTGCTGGATCATGCTGGCTTGAAATTGTGCTTTTTCATGATACAGAAGAGGCCTGTGGAGTTGTATAATCAAAATTGAAGCTGGAAATTATATGGAGTGAAAGGAGCTATTTTTATTTCGGAAGCATAACAGGAGCTCAAAAGGGCTTTAATGGCCAGAACTGCATCTATGATTTCTTTGAACTTAGATTAAGGAGGCTATGAAGTGGGCAGAGTGGACATAACAATGTATGTTGACACTGGCCGAGTTCATAGATGAATCCCGCAATTAGACTCTGTACCAGTCAGTGGGTCACTTGTTAGAGAAAGAGGAGGCCCTCAGGAGTGTATGTGTAGGATCCTCCTTACATTGTGAGGTGTCTATACTATAGGGACAACACTATTGATTCAAGAGGTGGAGAAGCTGGCTTATATTCTACCACTCTCTGCTAACAGGCAAAATGATCCCAAATCCAATTAAGAAACTGCCTGTTCTCAACTGATTAAAGGGAAAAGGATAAATAAGTAAAACCCAGGCAAATGTGTGTGCATGCATGTCTGTGTGTGTGTGTGTGTGTGTGTAGAACTGCATCTATGATTTCTTTGAACTTAGATTAAGGAGGCTATGAAGTGGGCAGAGTGGACATAACAATGTATGTTGACACTGGCCGAGTTCATAGATGAATCCCGCAATTAGACTCTGTACCAGTCAGTGGGTCACTTGTTAGAGAAAGAGGAGGCCCTCAGGAGTGTATGTGTAGGATCCTCCTTACATTGTGAGGTGTCTATACTATAGGGACAACACTATTGATTCAAGAGGTGGAGAAGCTGGCTTATATTCTACCACTCTCTGCTAACAGGCAAAATGATCCCAAATCCAATTAAGAAACTGCCTGTTCTCAACTGATTAAAGGGAAAAGGATAAATAAGTAAAACCCAGGCAAATGTGTGTGCATGCATGTCTGTGTGTGTGTGTGTGTGTGTGTGTGTGTGTGTGTGTGTGTGTGTGTGCGCATGAACAGGGGTGAGAAAATATGTTGATAAAATAATTTGGGACAGAGCAGTAAATGACTAAAACCTGGGAAACCTCAGCGGCAAGAGAATGGCCTCAGCTGTCAGCAGTGAGTTGACTAATACTTGTCAGCGCAACACAGTAAAAGCAGTGACAGCTTTTCACATAAGACTCATCTTCCATGGAGCATAATGAGCTGGGGGCGGGTGGCGGACAACAACGGTTCGCTGTATCAAAAATTCATCTCATTGCAAGGACTACATTTCAGCAAAGGGAGCCAGCTGACCCAGCGGCTGGTGCACGAGGCTCTTCCTGCCTTGCTTCAGTGCTCTCTCTGATTGGCCTCCTTCAATTCCATCTTCCAGGTTAATAATAAAAGATTCCAGTTCTGTAGCAAAAGTTCCAAGGTTAATGTAGGAAGTTTTCAGTGAAAAACTTATCACACTATCTGGTCTGTTTCCAAGAGTTCAGCATATGGCCTATGTGCCTGACACACATTAGACAGTGCCCACAATTTCAAAAATGCTCCTCTGTGGGGCTTATTAAAACTGGGAGAATGATTTGAAAACTAAAGGGAAGATGGATATTTTTATTTTGGTGGTTATGTTGATAACAGCATAATTGTGCTTGTCATCCTTTTAAAGGAGAGAGTGCCTGCGTACAAAAATGGGTAGAAGAGCCAATAAATCAAAGGTGATGATGAACTCCTTTGGGTCTTAAGGGTTATTTTATTTTAAGATGTTCAATTTGTAATCTGCAGTAGAAAACACATAAACATCCCATTGACGCATCTGTTTTGGACCAGAGATGTCAGGAAGGCTTTGGTTTACACTTTAGCTCTGTGTGGGGACTAGTCAGGCTTGTGACACCATCTCCTACAGCATGCCAAGGAATATGTGGCATTTCAGAATTTTATGCAAAAGAGTCAAGAGCACTCCACTCATGAAGGGAAAGCCTCTTCCTTATTTCCTTTGAACATTTTCCATTTTATTCCTACCTCTCAAACTAAATCTGCTAACCTTGGCCTGCCCTAATTCAACCAAGCTCTGATTTGGTACCACCACCCTCTGTGCCCATCCTCAGAGCATCACGAAGCAAACTGTCATTACATGGAACTGGTGAGTGAGCAATGAGAATGTACCCTTCTGATTGGAAGCACTGTCACTCATAGTTCTTAGAGTTGGTGGCTTCTTGAGGGAGACCTGAATGAACCCTGAAGTTCACCTGGTGAAAAGGTATGAGCATTTTTAGAAAATAGAACTGAGTGAAGTCAGTGTTCATCTCTGTGGATGAAGCCTAGGAGACTCCTCAAAAGAAATGTGAGCCCACCTGCTTCTTGGCTATGCCCTTCCACGTCTTCAGCACTTCGCTTTTCCTCTGGACCATTCTCATCTTTCAAGAAAACCACAGAGGAAAAAAAAAATACATCAAGTCAGTTTATGAAATATCTCTTTATGGCTAATATGCAGCACTGAAATTAATTGTAACCAATGTACCGTGACTCCCCAAAGCACGGCAGAGAGAGGAGTCAGGCATGAGACAGAAAAATTACCTACATAAATAGGTACATTTATATTCGTCTCTTCTCACATGATTTGCTTGATGAAATATTGGACTAAACAAAATTCACTCAGCAGTACTGGTAACATTTCACTCCCTGCACAGCATTTCCCAAAATGCAATACAGATTTTAATTCCAATTTGCTTTATCCCTTAACTCAAGCAATATGTACTGTGTAAGGAGACTTAAATTTCTGTGCCCATTATTTTCCTGTTTGATATATACTTCAAGAAAAAAATCTTTTTTCACTTAACTTACACATATCTATGCTATGAAATATTTCACCATGAACAGATTATGTTGGTCAAATTTATGCCATAGTACATAACTCCTTGAAAAATAAATAGCTAGACAGGTGCAAAGGTGGCTATATGCTGGAAGCTAGTTAAAATTTTCTTTTGCCTTAAATTGTGTAATATATATCTATGGATTTATGTGTAGAAAAACAAAATTTTCAAAGGCAAATAGAGGCATTTTATAAGTCATTGCTGGGAGGGTGTCCAATTCCCTTTTTGTTTGAAAGTTGTTTTTAAAAATGATAAATCTACATTAAGACACAAGAATGAAATATAAAACATGTGGCTAAAGTACAGAAACCAGAAACACAGAAGTTAGCAACATATATTACTATGGATTAAAGAGACAGGTTCTTTGTCTCTCAGGTGGTGGAATCTATCTCTCCTCTCCTTGAATCTGGATTGGTTCTGTGACTTACTTAGATCAATACAATTTAAAAGTTATGTTCTGGGCCCTCTACGCCAAGGCCTCCGAGGACTAGAACTTTCTACTTTCTTCCTCTGGGCACTCAGCCACCATGCTGTAAAGATGCTCAGGCTATCCTACCAAGGAGAGAGAAACAAATGCAGAGAGAGAAGGGCCATGCGGTGGAGCATTGACGGGCCAGATGCATGGGTGAAGCCTCCTCGCACCTTCCAGTCCAGCCCAGCTGCTAGCTGAATGCAGTCGAATGACCTCAGTCAATGCTACAAGGTGAAAAAGAATCACCCAGCGCAGCCCTTTAAAAATTCCTGACCCACAGTCAGGCTCAGATCACTTAACCTTGTTTTGCTGGAGTGCTTTGACACTCCATCTGCTACTACCACCAGCTCTTAATCCAGAGGCAAGATTGGGAATCCTCCCCAGAAGATGACTCAGCTAGTAGAGCTAAAACAAGAGCCTCAGAAGCAATGGGGAAACATTTCACCAAGACGTTCTGAAAAATGACCTACTGAACAGAGTTGTAGAAGGAAAAACATTTGGAACTGATGTGAAAAAGTTTAATAGCATGACAAAAATAATTAAGAATGACACTCTGAAGTGGGGAAGGAATGCAATCAATGAATACGTAAGCATGTATACAATTCCCTCTGCCAGCACCGTGCAACTTGTCATGGGGACACAGGTAACTTAATATGAGAGCCTGGGGCAGCTCTGTAATTACCTAAACCCAACGTTCCAAATGGCATGTTTACAAGTACCACACGACGATCTGACATTTTCTCTGCTCTCATTCTCCGAGCAGGCAGTGACACTGGCTTTTGCTCTAGGAAGGAAATAGCCAGCACTGTGCTCTTAGCTCCCCTAACAGGGGTAAGTTGATGCAGGAGCACATGACAGAAACCCAGGTCAGTATTTTCCCCCTTATTCCCACCAAACAGACTGAGTCAAGCCCGGGAAATGTGCTAGCTTGTCTGTCTTCTCCAATGGATGAACATTTTAACAGAGATTTCACAACAGGCTTGAAGTCTGCAGAGACAGGCTGCCTTTAATATTAGTCTACTTACCACATCTCCTACAGAATGGGGGTAAAGAAAGCTTTATTGTGAAGAGAGGAAGATAAGCAGGGAAAGAGAAACAATAAATAACCCACAGGAAGGTGAGGAACTGGTTCCAGCAGTTCTAAATGCATGAAAAGGAAATTGGTGGTGAGATCCCCAAGTCCACCTTTATAATAAAAACAAATCTGGCTGTTTTCCTGATCTGCTCCTACCGGTTTTTACCCGTATCTGTGTGCATGCTGCCCCATGAATGCAGCTATCCAAGTGTCACACTCTTGTTTTCCACTTTGAGTCTTGTCTGCACAGTGTTCTAGTTGCAGTATTTATGCCCTTTGGAAGCAAACTCAAGGGACACTTGGCATGTTTATCACGGAGTAAATCCATTCTAGAAGAATGCCGGACTGGCCATTTGAGTAACATGCCCTCAAATGAAAAGGTTTGGTATATTGCTTTCAATTTCTAAAGACAGTGCATCCTCAAATCCAGCAGGGGGAACCAGTGTAGAAGTCTTGCTTCCAAAGCCCAGTTTATGCATTCTCGGGCAATTAGATTAGCATTCATTTCACTCTTTTAGAAGGGCATTTTGGCTGGTTTATAACTTTCCATCCATTTAAAATGTCTCAAATGGCTGAGTTTTTAGTGAAACAGTGGGCTTCCAGGGTAGGAAAAAAAATATCCCATTACACAGTTACCGGTAAGTATTTGATAAGAACAAGTTTTCTTTTTATCAGCCTTGTCTGTCTAGCTATCTTCACAGGACCCATAAACAATAAAAAGTTAAGTAGAGTGGGGAATGTAAACTTCTAGTTTTTAGAAGGGATTTAAAAGACTTACAATAAATGTGAGGAAACACAAGGAAGTGACAACGTACGTTAACTTGAAAAATGTCACACAGAAGCTAAATTCTCTCAGTTTAATACACCTTTAAGATCACATATTTACTTCAGATAATAAATTTCCATAGCCTTCTTGTTGAGAGGCACGTAACACTGCTTTCCCATGAGAAAAAGCACCGTGATCTGTGACAGTTCTCGTGGTCACTTCACTTGTGTTTCTCTAATGTTAGTATCCTGCCCCTCCCCCTTTCATATTATTCCATATTTATTGAGCATGTACTATGTGCAAGGATATTTCAGGAATTGTATAGAAAAAATAACAGACTCATACTGTAAAGAGAATTCATCTAAGTGGGAGGAAGGCACCATTGGTTGGTCGATGGTAAAAATGGAATCCATGTTTATTTCTGTATGAAAGAGATTTACAAGGGCAAAATCTCAATGTTGGGGCCACAAATTGCTGTTCTGATCTTTGTAGAACTGTGTGGAGATGGGAAGAGAAAGGGGAAGCAAATCATAGCAAATCCATCCTACTGGAGAAGCAATCTGCTGTGGACTGTGTGCTGTGTACCATTAGCTTTTCTTAGATGGTTTCTGAGATTTCCAGACTTGGGCAGAGCATATGCAATTTAACAACAGTGGCTTGTTGACTAGATTTTTGGTCCCAATTCTCCAGTCCCTGTAGTGGATAATACATCTCAGTGTCCTCTCACTGTGGGCAGAGAACATTTTGTGTACCACTGATGCTGGGCTTGACCATGCGTCTTGATTTAGCTAATGAAATGTTAGTGGGTATGAAGTTAAAGGGCTTAACTGTGCTGCACAATTGGACTTGGTGTTTGTGCTCCTCACATTTGCCATAACAAGATGCCTCTGAAGATACTGGTTTAATGAGGCTGAAAGATACATGGAGCAGACTTAAACCCAAGCCACGGTTTGAAGCCAACCTGAGGCAATTCATAGCTTCAAACTGCCCAGCTGAACCCAGCCTACATCAGCAGAGACGTGGTCAACTTGCAACCGGTAAGCATGAGAATAAATATTTTTGTATAAGGCACTGTATTTTGGGATGATTTGTTACACAGTATTATTGTGACAATAACTGATTAATACAAATGTTATATTAATTTTTCTTAGGTCAGGAAGGCCCAAAGTTATTTTTTTTTAAGTTGGCACTCTTTTATTTAAAAGGAACTCAGTCTTTAATTTTGTATTTTTGCCAGCCCGCTACATCTTCATCTCACACACTCCAAAATTCTCTAGAAGGTACACACACACTCAAAAAATAAATTCAGCATATTTAAAAGAGGAATGCTCTCAAAGAGCATGTACTGCCATCAATGATGTTTACATTATATTTAAGAGAGCTATATGGGCAGCCGGATGATACTGCGAAATACCTGATAACATTTATTGAATAATGGCTATGTTCCTCTCAGTGTCTAAGTTATTTGCATAGCTTATCATATTTAATTCTAATAAGAACCCAATGAGGTAGGTGTTATTTTTATCCTTACTTCATAGATGGAGGAACCAAGGCACAGAGATGTTAAGAAATTTGCCTAAGATCCCATAGCTAGTAAGTGATGGCCCCAGTGTTTCAGCCCAGTCAGCTGATATCAGAGCCCACTACTGTCTCCTGGGAAACATAACATTGTTCTCTATGCAAAATAGTTAACTTGTGGGTCAGCAAAAATGGAAAAAAAATCCTTCACGTAACAACAGCTGAGGAAGTGAGCTACAATCTCATATGGATTAGCAGAGAACATTAAGAACATGGAATGGCCGGCTCTTCTGACACTTCAGTCAGGTGAGCAGAGCTACAACTCCGAACTTGTTTTTTATTTTGGAATAATTTTAAACAACAGAAAGTTACAAGGACAGTACAATAAGGTTTTTTTCCTGAACATACTGAGAATAAGTTGCGAACATCATCACCTCTGTCACCCTGAGTATTTTAGTGTATGTTTTGTATAAACAAGGACATTCTCCTCCATAACCACAGTGCAACCAACGAGATCAGGAGATTAGCACCGATGACATACCTGCTAGCTAAGCCACAGACCACATTCAGGTCTTGCCAATTTTTCAGTAATATCTTTTACAGCATCTATGACCACATATTCAGGTGTCATGCCTCCTTAGTTCCTTCCATCTGAGACAGAGATGGCCTCCTGACCTCACCTAAACTCTGTGCTGGGTGTCTGCACCTCTTCC